ATATGCGTGTTTGTTTCTACGGAAGGAAAAAAGGCCAGAGATTTTTGTCTGTTTGATTCACTGCTACCTACCTCACTTAGAGCAGTGACTCACACATAGCAGGTACTCAGTGTGTTTTATGGGACAAATAAATGTCAACTGCAGCTAAAAATATCTCAAAACAGAATTTGAAAACAAAGTAAGTGTGGCCTCAGCATAGAGATAAGTAGCTATATTAATGAAATTAATTGCTTAAAACAGATTTTTACTTATGTAAGATATTATTATATAAAAGAAATGGTCAACCATTTTCAGGGATGAGCAAACTTTTTCCATTAAGAGAAACATAGTTAATATTTCAGCTTTCAGGCAACTATCATAACTGTTACAGCAATAACTAAAGGGAAAGGAGCCATAGGTAAGATGTAAATGAATGATATGGCTAGATTTGAACCATGGGCTGTAGTTTTATTTCTCCTGAATTATCAAATTAATGATTTAAATTAGAATAGTGATTTTTGTAATTTTTTTTTTACCTATTGATCACAGGTAAGTACAGGGTGGGGCAAAGAAGGTTTATGGTTGTTCATTTAAAAATAAAACAGTAATTACTAAATAAGAATATGATTGTAAACCTACTTTTGTCCCACCCTATAGAACATTCTTTGCATGGAATAGGCATTCAACAAAATTGTTCTTTAGAATTAAATCAAAATGACATTGAAGGACACGGGCTATTTGAGGTGAAATGAACTCAGCTCCTAACCTAACATCATATAATATAAATTGCAATGGATTTTAGAGATAATCGTGAAATGATAAAAATGTATGGAAGATAGGTAAATATTATCAGTCTTTGAACTTACAAAGTTCATTTTAAGTATAAAAGCAAGGAATGAAATTAGCTAAGAAAAATAATGAATGTTTCATTATTTGAAAATTTTGAATTTAAGTACATTAAACATACATAAAAATAACGAACATCAAAATAGGAAAAGTTATATATTTAAAAAGATAATGATCCTTATGAAAAATATGAAAAACACTAACACTATATAATATTAAAATGGGCAGAAGCCTGGCATACATGGTTAATAGAGGAGGAAATAAAGGTAATTGCCTGAAAAAAATAGTCAACTGTTAAGATTTTTAAAAAATACAAAGGAAAATAAGATCCAATTTCCAGCTATGAGTTATAAGAATAAAAAGATAGTATTGAATCTTGTTTCACATACCTTGTTGACAAAAGTGTAGATTTAGGCAGTCTTTCTGGAAAGTATTTTGATGTACATTTAAAAAAGCCTTTATACCCTGTTAGTGTGTCAAGTAATTTATCTTCCAAGGATCTGTCTTCAGGGAATAATTAGAAATAATATGAAGAATTTATGATCAAAGGAGTACAACATACTCTTATGATAATATACAAAAAGAAATATTTAATTTTAGGGAAATGGCTTTAAAAATTATGTTATATCTATAAGATGTTGTAAAGTCACTTTGAAGATTTTTAATGAGAAGTGCTAATAATAATTGCATGATAAATATAAAAAAGAATACAAAACTGATTATCTAGATTGATTTTAATTGTAGAAATATATATGGTAGAGCAGAAAGATTAGAAGAAAAGATTGCATGATGTTAATCACGGTTTGATCTGGATTTTAGGTTTGTGGATAATTTTGTATTTCTGAATATTGTGTGAGGGTTCCTACCATTAATATATATTGAGGATGGAGGTAGAGGCAGAGTAGCTATCTAACTTCTTTTTCTTTCACTCTGATCTCCAAGCAGAGCCTGGAAGCAAGAGCTAGTTTGTGGGAATGAAATCCTTTACTTTCAGATTCAAAAAATCTGAATCTGAAAGTAAAGGATTTTGCTCAGGGGGGGAAAAAAGAATTTACACAAAAGACCAACAAAAAGGAAAAACTAAGGGGAAAAAAAAAGGTTTGTATTTTTGTTGTTATTGTTGTTGTTGTTATGTATACCTCAATTCATCCCAAAAATGAATTAAAGTGTGATTGTGCATTAAAATTATCTTTAAAGCTTGCTTTTTAAACTAAGTATTTAGAGCCCTGGTTGGGTGGCTCAGTTGGTTAGAGTCTGGTCCCATACACCAAAAGGTTGTGGGTTTGATTTCTTTTCAGGGCACATATTTAAGTTGTGTGTTGGTTCCCTCCCTGGTCAGGGTGCATATGGGAAGCAACTGATTGATGTTTGTCTTTCACATAGATGTTTCTCTTTCTCTCCCTTCCTCTCTCTCTCTAAAAAACTAATAAAAAACCTAACATATCCTCAAGGGAGGATTTAATTAAAAAGAAAATAAGTATTGAGAAAATGACACTACATGGAAAATATTTGTGTGCAAACAGGTTGAAACTTTAAAAATATATGTATTACATGTGAAAAGTTAACGAATGTGATGTGATTTTATTATTGACAAGTCAATAAAAATAAATATCAGGAGAAAGAAATATAATTATTTATTTATTAGGTTCTTTTTTACTAAAAACATTTTGAAGATTTAATTTTAAAAGTGTCTTCCTACATATCTTGCCTATCTACAGTATTACAGCAAGGCTGAAGAGGTGAAAATGTTATTTATATGGACAGAAAAAGAATTACCATTTTAAAAATTCCTCATCCGGAGATAATGTTTTATTGATTTGAGAGAGATAGATAGAGAGAAAGAGAGAAAAACATCTATGTGAGAGATAAATATCTACTACTGGGGATCAAACCTGAAACCTAGTTATGTGCCCTGACCAGAAATCGAACTCATAACCTTTTGGTGTATGGGACAATGCTCCAACCAACTGAGCCACTCGGCTAGGGCCAGAAAAAAATATCTTGAAAAACTATTTGAATTCTTTATCCAAATTAATTGTGGAATAGAGTCCACACTGTTTTGTAAACCCAGACTTTAAAAAAAATATTTTTTACATTTCACTAATTTATATTTCTGATGATAATATATTCAAATTATATATACTTTTAAAATTATACTTTATATTATAGAGAAGATATGTTCAAATTATGTGCACTTTAAAATTATAATAGAACATAAATAAAAAAAACCTTGATTATAGCTATATAATTAGTGGTTGCACTGAAATGGAGACAAAAATAAATTTGGTGTTATAAATATATACTAATTTACAAATTATGTGTCTTGTTTTATTACCCCAAATTTTGCCAGCTCATCAACAGAATATCCATGTCTGCAAAGTAATAATTAAATTCATTTGTCTGACATTTTGGTTACTTTAAGAAAACTTTTTTAAACGTAGACTTTTCATTACCCGGCATTTTGAGGGAAGCCTTTAGCTAGAGATAAATTGCTGCTATTAATCCACTGACTAAAGCAAATCTTGCTGCCTCTTTAGCAAGTGTGCGTTTGCAGGCACTGCAGTGCTATACCCTCCTAGCTCCAGAGAGCCCCCCACAATTGTGTGAAATGTCACTGGGTGCGGAGGAAGGTTATTTGGGCTGCGGATTGGTCTGGTACCTATTCTGCTTTAATATATTTTTATCTTACCGATCAGAAATTTTCACTATAAAAGCCAGTGCTGGAAAGATGCTAAATGCAGTAAATCCTACTTCATATCCATTATGGGAAAATTGATTTTATATTATTCTATTAAATTTTAGTCCTTGCTTAGATGGTCCACAAATATAACCTAACCCAAAGTTAACCTAAAACAAAATAATAGTTTTTTCTTGTTCTTCCATTTTTAAAATTAATTGACTTATTCATTTCACAACATTTATTGAATGTCTTGTGTATGCCACGTACTATGTTATATGCTGGAACGATAATGAAATGATTATATAATTTGACACAATTTACTTTCTTTAATTGCTCTGTTTCCTACAATAGCTTCTAATACGGCTCCATCAGATACATGTCATTTGATAGATGAAGGAGAAATGAATTGCCCCCAGGGGAAGTAACTTAAAAGCAAAACAGATCCTCTGCTCTTTCTTCTATCTCCATTTAGCAATTACTGTTATTTTCAAACCAAAGCATTGAGACACATGGTTGGAGAAGGGAATATTTCTCTTTTGTGAATTTATTTGTGTAAAAGGTTTTAAAGCAATATCATATTAAATTGCATTTACTTATTCTTTGTATTAATCACCTTATTGAAATATCTGGAACATATGGCCACCATAATATTTACCTGCCATATTAAGTGAATACTTAAACTTTCTCACTCTGTTTTTTTTCAAACTTCATACTCACCCACCCCTCTTTATTCTTCTTTTTATCTTCTAGTCTTTTCATCACCCATCTTTGTTTTTCATTTGCTTTTAATCATGTATCTTTGCTTTTGCAATTTGTCTACCCTGACATACATGGGAATGTACAGTTTAGCAAAATTACAAATTTCTGCCACATTAAATCACATACTATAAAGTTCAAAGTCTATGTTCTCTGATTTATCCTCATCTCTGGCATTGTCTCTTCCCGCTTTGCCTATTCTGAGAAGTTGGCCCACAGATGCACCCAGGTAAACCTGTGGATGAAAAAGCCGAAATTATCGGAAAGGATTTTTATCCTCTTTTAGCTTTCTGTTTCCCTTTCCAGATACTTTCTGGTTTGCATCCTCTCATTGAGGCTTGGTACAGATATAAGCCCCCATTAATCACATTCTTTATCCTTATGGCTCCTCTTTGGCTCCTTCAGATTGACTGGAAAGATGTTTTTCAGAAAATCTAAGCTTGGGCATGGAGGGCGAAGGTTGTGTTCAACAGTAGGGAGATACGGTTCAGGAAGAAGGGCTGCGGGAGGGGAAGGGTGTCTGTGAATGGATTCCGGTTCTAGGATGAGATGATAACCAAACTTAAAGGAGGAACTACTACAGATTTTAGGCAGAGGCATTTCTATTCAAAGCAACTTTCCAAAGCAGAAGAAATGTTATAAACCATCACTTCAGACCATTTTTAGAAGGTCCCAGGACTGAGTTATAATTCAAAGATGTGATAGAATGTATTGAGCTGTTCTATTTTGATCCCCCCAGGTTTGCAACACAACCACAGACAGGAAACACGCAGACACCTCCCTGGAGAAGTGTGTGACGGAGTCCATCATGAGCATCGTGAGCGGCTTCTTCAATTCTCCTTTCTCAGACAACAGCACCAGCCTCCAGGTAGCTTAACCCATCACGTGCAAAGCATTCCTCCACACAGATTTTATTTGCCTTACTCAAGTAGGAGAAACTTTAACCTGATAAGGAAGTCTTCCCTACATTTCTGAGGATGACACTTCTCATGTTAATTACTGTTACTCTCCTTTATGAGTTTACCGAACTTTATTGTAAATAGAGAAGTCCCATCTTCAAGTTAAATTGTTCTTGCTCCCCCTCTAAGCATAATGGGAACTTTCATATTGTGTGATGACTGTCGAAATAAATGACACAATTATTTAAACGGATAGGCATTTTTACTCAATTCCATGTTAGTAATTTGTCCTGAAAGAATTAGCAGTGTTTTATATAGCATAATTTTTATTCAAGTATTTATAGACTTCAAAGTTGCCATCCACCACAAACAGGGGGGTGGGGGTGGGGGGCACGGAGCTAAATAATTCCACTGTATCTGTAGTATTTATTAAAAATCATGTTTTAAAAGAAATATTTATGATTGGGAAAATGAACATGAAGTAAGATTTATCATAAAAAGGCCACAGAATTGCATTATACTGTCATCCATGTTTTCATGCATACATACATGGAAAAACACAGTACAGTAATTATCTTCAAAATTTGGATACTGATTACCCTTACGTAGTAGAATAATTGGTAATTCTCATGTCAGTGGTTTCCAAATATTTTACAATAACTGTATATTGCTCTTATAAAAATATAATTTCAATTATACTTTCTTCTGGAAAAACTTTAAAACTGTTTGATTGAACCATTTCAAAATTGTTGTCTCCTCTACTTACCCATCATATGGAAACCAAAATGTACAATCAAACAAATACATTCAGAACACCTTCTCTCTATTTATACTAATAAATAAACCAGAGATTATAAAAATGTACTTAAGTTCATGTCACTGACTTCAAGAAATGCCATATTTTTCTGATTAAGAATATAGTTCAAATGCAAATAATTAACTTCCTATAGTATCTCTGGCTCATGCCTCTCATGAAATAGGTATATAATAAATAATTTTGAATTAATATGCATTTAATAGTTCTGAAACTAAAAACATTGTATTATGTTTCATTTTGGTGAGTGACTTTGATAATGCATAAATACTGTATCAGGGTGTGTTAGTGGTTTAGTGGCCTATATGCCTTTCTTCTTTCTGTCTTCAGACACACCAGCCAGTTTTCATTCAGCTGCTGCAATCTGCCTTCAGAATTTACAATTGCACCTGGCCAAACCCAGCCCAGAAGGCCTCTGTGGAGTCCTGTATCAGAACTTTGGCAGAAGTGGGTAAGTCATAGTGTCGGATTTTACTTATTTTACATTTTGTTGAAGGAATCAGGCTTTTGGCTAATAAGCAATATTAAGCAGCTTTTCAGTTTATAATTTAGTAATAAAAGCAGGTATAATTTCTGAAAGCTTAGCAGTAATGATTAACAAATGATTCTGAATATTGTGTAATTTTGGAGAGGATAATATAATTATATTTCTTTTAGAAAACTATCTTAAAATTTCATTATTTTATTGTTTAATTGTTCTATTTGTAAACTTAAACTTAATATTACATATAGCACTTTTAAGCCAGTGAAATTTTGTAAGAATGAGTTTTGTTTAATTATCTCAGATTTCAGCCGAAAACGGTTTGACTCAATGGATATAGCGTCGGCTTGGGGACTGAAGGGTCCCCGGTTCGATTCCAGTCATGTACCTTGGTTGCAAGCATATCCCCAGTAGGGGGTGTGCAAGAGGCAGCTGATCGATGACTCTCATCGATGTTTCTAACTCTCTATCTCTCTCCCTTCCTCTCTGTACAAAATCAATAAAATATATTTTTAAAAAATTATCTCAGATTTCATTCTGGAATTGTCTTGTCTATTAAGTAGCCAGTCTTATTAATATCTTCAACTGATGGTAGGCTTTATTGAGGATTTTTTAGTTTTCTAATTTTGTTTAACATCTATCAGTATTTATTGAGTGTACAAATGGCAAAAATGAGTAAATTCTAGAAAGAATTTCTCATAGATTTCTCTCTCTTCTTTTTAAAAAAAATGTATTTTATTGATTTTTTACAGAGAGGAAGAGAGAGGGATAGAGAGTTAGAAACATTGATGAGAGATAAACACCGATCAGCTGCCTCTTGCACACCCCCTACTGGGGATGTGCCCACACCAAGGTACATGCCCTTGACTGGAATCGAACCTGGGACCTCTCCGTCCGCAGGCCAATGCTCTATCCACTGAGGCAAACCGGTTTCGGCTCATCTTTTCTTTTGTTGACATTAACTAGGGCCACCTTATAGATGGCAGAAGAAAGGAAGGAAAAGAAGTACAGGCTTGGCTGTATTTAAAAATCAGGGGAGCTTCCATTCTCTCCTCGGGCTGGTTCTTCAGGCATTGGGAAGGAAGGGCAGCTTACAGTGTGTGTCATTACAGCTGACATTTTTTGAGCATTTACCATGTGCAATGCTAAGCATTTTACATTCATTATCTCACTTAATTCTTAGATAGGGTTATTGAGTATTTACATTTCTTAGTTGCAGAAACAATTTTTTAGATGAGGCAACTTGACTAAGGTTATAGTATGTGCTCAGTAAATATTGGATATTGAATGAATGATTTAACTAATTACTGACTTTTTAAACATTTTTTAGTCTTTTCCCCATACCTAAGTGATTTTCATATTGACAAAATTTAATGACTGCTCACTTTTAATTAAAATAAGTTAAAAAGCAGTGAAAGCCCAAGAGGACAATTGAAAATTATTAACACTAAGAGACTAATACAAGGCTTGATCGATTTTTTTTTGTATACTAAAAAGAAACAGAATACATTGTGAAGAAGATATCAGTCACAATATCCCTTAAGCATTTAAATAAAACGTTAAATGCTTAAGGGATAACTTCACAAGAAGCATGAGAGAATGTATGATAATACCATTTTGAGGGACACAAAGGATTTGAGGGCTATAAATAAAATATTAACATTGCTTATCTCTGAGTAAGCGAGTTATAGATGAATCCAGTCCTATTGTTCATGCTTTTACACAACTTCTGAGCTTTTAATAGTATACATTCAAGTTATAATAAAACATGACTAAGAGCATTTTTATTTGGATCAAATCAGCTGGGAAATTGACTAACCAGTAAAAAGACAAAATCCAAAGGAAAAGCAAAGAAATCTGATATGTTTTTCATAGGCACACATTATCTCAGCTGCCAAGTATATGTCTATATTTTACATTTTAAGGAAGTCTCTTCTCCCCCCTTTCCCTTTCTCCCTCAATGTCTCTTCCTTATATTCCTCCTCTTCTTCCCCCCTCAGTATTTAGCAAATGCAATGGGGAAAACACCAGTTGGCTCAGCACAGAGCATAGACGGCATGCTGTTCATAACATTTAGAAGCTGAGACACAAAGAACTTTGAGGCACAAGTGAGAATCCATGTTTTGCTTTCATCTCGGTTCCGATCTCAGTGGTATTCCTTGTGTAATCAAAGCATAGCAGGATAGCAGAGCTTCGGGGGTTTAAAATAGTCACTGACACTGTGTTAGTCTAAAGATAGCTTTTATTTCTAAGCTATAAGATTTCATTCTCTACCATGTCCTCTACTGGCCAGAAACCTTATGATGTAACGGGAAATCCTAGTTACTTTTCATATGCAATGAAAACATATGTGATGGGAAGTATAAATTAAAAAAAAATTTCTAAATCAATGATCAAGAGAGATTTAGAAGAGTGATGTTTTTGTGTAAACCCTCAGTTTCATCTTTGTGAGAGGCATGCTTTCCTCCTCTGTGTTTCTAGGTTCTATCTGAGTAGTTACCAAAGCTTTGGGAATTCTGTTTCTACGGTCCTCTGCATCTGTACCTCTCCTTCCTCCCTCTCTATAAAGGCCCTTTTTTTTTTTTAAACCCATTATTACTTCCTTCTTGGACCTGTGTTGGAATTCACTGTTCTGTACTTCCCTCTTTCCTCAGTTAAATCTGCTACCAGAGTAACCTTCTTCAAGTGAAATTCTATCTATTGCAACAACAGAGACCTCAGCCATCAGTGGCTCAGTGGCGTTCCTTAGCCTAACAAAGTAGACAGATTCCTCATTGCAACATTCGTGACTTCCACAACACAATCACACCTTCTTCCTTTTTGACCTCACTGCTCACTGGTTCTCACACCCCTGCTATGTGACAGCACACTGAGCCATCATGCCCCATGCATTGCTCACACCATAACCTTTTCCCCCTAGTGTCTATCATTGCCATCTCTCAGTGCCTTTTTCATTCCTCAAATTCACCATAAAAACCATTCTTGACCCCCAATTGACCACTGATATTTTCTTATGGTCTTCACTTTATTCTAACTTATATCACCATCAATCTGCATCTTAACTGCTCTATTTGATTTTGAGAGACAATAATTATGAAGTATCTATCAAAATGAAATTAATGGAAAGCTATTGTCTAGAATGAAGAAGTTGAAAAGCAAATTCTGCTTTGTGATGGTTAGGTTTATCTTTTTATTTATTGGTGAATACTGATCATGGGAAAACATATAATTGAAATGAAAGGCATTTAGAAGTGAACATTCATGGTAGTAAAGGGATCTAAATCCATCTTACTTGAGTAGTGATTAAAAACACTTTAAATATTAAACAAAAGCTATCTGAAGGAAAAATAATAATTATTTCCCAACATTTGAAGGTTAGAATGAACTTCTTTTACAGCTTCCTAACACTAAATTTTTAACTAATATATGACAGCTGTAAGAGGCATATTTTATACCACTGTAAAGAATAACTATTTTACAATTATTTTTCTTTAAAAAACCTTAGGGTTCACATTTGATTCTTCCCTTTTGCTCACTTCCATTAAACGCAACAGCAGGTTCTCTGGGTTCCACTTGCAAAGTACATATTTTTTTCTTTGTCTTGTGAGACACCCTTGTTCAGATCCACCATTATCTGACATGAACTGCAGAATTGTCTCTTTACTCAACTCCCTTCCTACAGTCCATTTCCTAAATAACATCATGATCTCAAATTGCACCTCAGGTTATATCACTCACCTGCTTGAAAGTTGCCATTGCACTTAAGAGTCATATTCCTTACCATGGCTTAGAAAGTCCTTCATCATCTGAGCTTCATCTACTTTTCCTGGTTTCTTACCCTCCTCCCAAATTCTACAAGGTTAGATAACTCACTGAAGGTCACATGAACAGGTGGGGACAGAGCCTTCTAGACCGACATGCTAGCAGACACCTGTAACACTCTACTATCACAAATCAGTTTATACAATATTATCCATGTTAAACCTTGAAGATACATACTATGGACAAATATGAATGCCCTTGGTCAGTCCTTGTTACTTAGTTTACTCATTTTTATAAAACACAACAGTATGTGCTAAAAGTACTTTGAGAAAAAGCATCCAAGAATGACTTTCATATTATTGCATTTAAAAAAGAATTCTGTTCCATATGTTTCATAATCTTTAAATGATTTGGGAGGATTAATATTGGGTACTTTGTTGGCAACAAAGTGTTTTTTCCAAATGGAAATTCTGTAAAATATCTTTTACAAATGGTTTGAATAATCGACACTAATCTTCAAGCCAATTGTTCTCCCACCCCCAGTTTAAACATGTATAAAATATTAACCCTTTGAGAAAAGACGTTTAGTCTCTGTTAAAACAAACATATTTAGTTTTATGTATCTAGGATGATATAGTTGACTAGTGGCTCAATGCACGAATGAAGATTTGTGCAAGAATGGGCCTTCGTTCCCCTGGCTTCTGGCACCACCTTCGCTCTGGCCAGAGCACCCTTTCTGCTCCAGCATGGAGCCGCCTTTCTGCCTTCCCATGCTGCTCAGAGGCCAGGAACAGCTTCCTCACACTAAGTTTAGGAACAGCTGGGGTGGTGCATAATGCCTGTATCGTTGCCATGGTGATGCCTTAAGTGTCCCGCCCCCAGCCATTAGGCGCCTGTGTATGCAAATTAACCCAAAGGTGGTGGGTTAATTTGCATACTCACTCCTGATTGGCTGGTGGGAATCATGAAGTTATAGTCAATTAGCATGTTAGGTAGATTGTAAAAAGAATTAGACATAACACATTCCTGCAATTATGGTTTTTAAAAACTCCATTATTATTTTTAAAAAATTAAATCTGCATATATTACAAGATAGAACCAAATCTTATAAAGTTTTTCATGTGCTTAATACAGCTGACTTATAATGATCCTTCATTATGTGAAATACCTTATTTTAGTTGTTGGGGAAATTCAGCCTGTCAAACCGT